ACTTTGATTTACAGGAGCATGTAATGGCCTTTATAAGTGGAATTTTCAGGTATATTGAATAAAAGAAAAGAAAAAATTTTATATTTAACACCTTGAGTTCCACATAGCCACTCCTTTTACGAGCAACTTCAAAAGGAGAAAAGATATAGAGAGGGAGAGCTACTAATCATTTAGATCTTAGCATAGTCACTTTCTCACATTTGAACAAACGAGGGTAATACCACATTATCCAAATTTGAGCATCACACATATTTACTCTTTAAGTAGAAACAGCAACCAATCAAAGTCTACCCTCCCACTCCCCCACCCTTTAGTTTCTACTTCGCTCTACTCCACTTTATGCTATCTCCTTTTTTGTCTTGTCTCATCACTCTATGCCGTTCCACTTCTTGTCTTCGCCCCTTCTCTTTTTCTCTTAGTGATACCTATTTTCTTTTCTCCTTCCCCATATCTTCCTTTTTTTCTCTTTCTTTCTTGGAAAACATTTATATAAGGTTGACACCTTAAAATGTAGAATTAAGGTGCACCTCTAAAATCCTTCGAAAAAGGTAATTTTGAGGTTGAAAAAACATATAAGTGATCATATCGACATTGAGATGTATAGATGTCAAAAAAAAAAGACACCTCAAGTTCTAAAAGTAGCACATCTTGCGACATATTATCCAAACTGTCCATTTTCAAAATTTTCATGCTTTTATAGATTTTCTTGATTTGAACCATTTCTGGAGTTTAAAATTTTTTAATTAGAGATCAAAATAGATTCTCACACCATCCTAAGAATTTTCAGCACCAAAACTGCCTCTCATAACAAAGTTAGGAGGCGCACCTTACTTTGAGTGTTTAAGGTTGCAACCTTATACAAACCACACCCTTATTCCTTTATGTTTTTGGAGCACTTGAATGTAAATCTTTCTCTCTAACCCGTGATAGCAAAATCAAGAGTGATTAAGTCCCCAGCATGAGGAACACCTACACTCCATTTTTGGACTACTTTTTTTGTTTATAATTTTAGTCTATTGAGCACGAGCCGCCACTGCCTTACTGCTTTACCATCAATTTACCATCACCAACTTCAGAAGAAAAAAAAAGAAATGGTAGTTAAGCACTACAAAGAGTAAAAGCTCTCAACAAAAGATAATAGCATCAAATTAATATGACTACTTGACCACACATGCATGGCACGGACACAAGTGACAAAACCAAATAAAAAGAGGCGATATATCAAAAATGCAAAGAAGAAATTGTAAACTAATAAGACATTAAAAAACAAAGAAACATAAAGCCATAATTCAAAAAATAAAAATTTACATAGTTTGACATGAATTTTGAATAAAATTCAAATAGTCATAAATTTTTAACAACATAGCTATGAAAGTCTGGCTATAAGCCAACCAAGCTATTTGCTCTATAATGTATAGGTCTAGGCCCCCTTCAAACAACATTAACCTAAGGACTTCAACCTTCGTTACAAGAAAAAGGAGGACAATTCAGTTATTATTACGAAAAAAGAACTCTACGGCATATTCATGCAAAACATTGATAAAAGAAGAAATAGAAACAAAAATATCTACCCATACAAAATTAAAATTTTGTGCAATATAAAAAATTAATGCCAAAAGATTTACATAATGTCTTGCTAATGCCAAAATCCCATATTTTAGCTCTCCAAAACAAAAGTCTTATTTAGACACCACTTAAAGAGAAAATGAAAAAATACAAAAGGCTAAAATAAATATAAGAATTATTCTAAGAACCATGCTTCATAAAGAAGGCAAAAACACTAAAAGAAAATGCTATTTACAAATATATGTAATTTCAAATGACTTTTCAACACACCGTTAGAGATATTCGCTCAAAAAAAAGTAAAAGCACATTTGAAATATAAGAGAAAGTAGGTGGCAATAATAGAAATTGATTTTGAGTTCATATATAAGTGTCACGCAAAGGAATGCCCAAGTATATATATAGAGAGAGAGAGTTGATTTAAGAGAATTCTCCTAAAATTTCTAATTTTTAAATGCCCTCATGGAAAGAAAAAGACATCCTAAAAAGACAGATACTTGACTTGGAGAGCTGCCCACAAATTTAGAAATTTCATTAGAGATTTCGAAGGAGAGAGAGGTGGAGCAAGAAATTTAACCAAAGATAAATAAGTTTGATTTGGAGAAACTTTATATTCTAATATTTCTCATAGTTAAGATATCCTATAACAATTTGGCCGGAGAAACCATAAGAAAAGATAAGGATGGAAGAGACAGACCCAATGTTTATCATATATGCCCAACACTAGACACTTTTTCTCCATAGGCTATCTGACCTACACTTTCTCTCCCATGAGATTCTAACCTAGTCAAATGCCAAGTATCCACCCTTTAACTACGTTGTAGCATTACATAGTATAGATAAATAACCCTAAGAAGCAAAAAATTCAAAACAGTAGTTCAGAACTAGTCAGAAAAGATTATAACTATATCATGGACCCATGCATGAGAAAATTCAGTTTGAAACAGCTCATCTATCTATACCAACTATGCTAAAACACATATGGTATTTATTGCAAGAACAAAAGATATTCACAAATGCAGAACGCTGGCAGGTAAGTGATCTCCATGGGACTAAAATAACGAATAAAATACATGTAGTACCAACAATTGAGCACGCAAACTATAAAACCGTTGTGTTTCAAGGTGCAAATCAAGCCAACAAAAGCGTGACCATAATACTAAATGTTATACTAATATTAAATGCTACACTAAACATTCAACCAAGCAAAGGATATAACATTTTAATGCAAAAGGAAAAAAACTTATACAATAGGTAATTGGGAAGAGCTATTTGCGCCTATTTCAGTGAAATTCCCACACAAATTTGGCAAGATAGTGAAAAACTTTATATGGAAAGCATTTCACTAAGTTCTTGAGTGGGAAGAATAGAAGCATCGCATGAATAGCAATTCCCTTATTCGATAAGAAAGCAATGTAAATACTGATTTTAAGATGAATTTCTTCCAACCTGAAGGATACCAAGCCAACATATCTAATGAATGTCAACACCAAATGTGAAATGATTTATACCATGGAAATACCCACCTGGAAGAAAAGAGAGAAAAAAATGCATTCTTAAACAGTCCATCTTTAAAATAGTCATAGTGAAAAGAAGAAGACTTTTAGAAAAATGACATGTTCAATAACAACATATGAAACTTAAATTAAAATAAAAAAATGTGAGAACTGTATATTGTGCTTGATCTGCAATTGCAAGTGCAACGTCAAGCACAGGAGATTCAAGTTAGATGTTAAATTCATCCACTGGGGAACTCGGATGCTGACACTGCAGCAGCACATCCCAAGTTTAAAGTTTACAACTAACCTATCACCAACAACAACGGTGGCCAACCACCACTAATTTTATCAATGGGAATATGCATCTCTCAATTAAAAACAGTTTTTTTAGAAAGAGGAAAAAAAGATGGGACACCAAAGTAAAAAGCAGAGTTTAGATTTTAATCAGTGAATGAGGGAAGCAAACGAATCTAATCATTGGGTGTGTGAGACTCTGTCTAAAAATCCTTAGAATGTAAAGAATGAGAGAAGCCTTTCACAAATGGCATCTCTCTCAGGTTTCTAGAGAAAGAAAGATAGCTAGAGATAACCCCAAAAAAAACCCTTTCATAAAGAGCATGGTATAGAGGAAACAAAAGAAAAGGAACAAGGAAACATGTGTAAAGAGCCACAAGAAAGTAGGAAAATTGGCTAGGGGAGACTATTGTAAGATCTTTTTATCTGTTCAGTGGATTGAGAGTTGTACCATAGTTTTTCCCCATCTATGAAGGATTTTCCATGTAAATATGTGTACCTATTTTTGGCTTTATTCGTGGTTGGCTTTTTCCTTGGCACCCTGCATATCTAGGTAGTGTTTTGTGTGCTCGTTTTGACCTACAGGTTTGCTACTTTCATTGTATAGACTCATAGTCGAAAACATATTGTTCCCAACAAAAACAAAAAACTCATCCTTTAATGAATGGCAAGCCTAGTGTGTACAAGAGGGTATTGATTCTGTATGGAGAAAGGAATAATGCTTTAATTGATTTAGACTGTAGACCAAGGAGAGGTGGACGTAGTGTCAGAAACATTCAAGTTGAACATAGGGCTTGATCACCACTAAGGGTGACAATGTTGAAGGGGAGAACCTTGAGTAACGGACTAACAATATAACTACAGCCTATTGGTGCAATAATACTACATTGGTGGTGTATTTACATGGATTTGGCAGGGCTTTGCATGATTGACATACCTGATCAGAGCATAAGCCTGGTTGGCTCAGTAAAACATGCCTAGGTAAGGAAAGGACTTGGAGTCATCATGTCTTAGAATACGGAAAGTGATGCTTGACAAACCTGAAAGCTCTAAACTATAGAGTGGCTATGGTGGACAATTCAAAAGTTCCATACAACTAGCTCTTATGAGCACATGAACATAGCAAACTTAATACAAATTACCACAATATGACAATACAATGAAGCACAAAACCACCACAATTCCGCTTAAACAAAGGCCCAATTCGGAGAGATGCCCAGAGTGGTTTTAGCCAGGAGATGGTCGGTCTTCTGTGTGAAAGACTTGGCATTGTGGAATTTAAGACTGTAAAATCTATGCTTTCTTTCTTTATTATTGAATCTGAGCTCTACTCACAAGTGCCACAATACACTGTTTGTGGTATGCCACAGGATTTTTTTCATAAGTGATTCAATAGTTAATGTGTATTGCATTTGATAATGCTCATAACAGCAAAAAGGTTAATGCTTATTGCATTTGATAATACTCATAACAGAAAAGAGGATAATGTTCATAAATGGACACAACCAAGGCCAAAAGCAATTAATACAAAATTAAAAAAAGACTGCACATTCCAAGAAATATATGAATATCACCTTGTATAATAATACCTAGAAAGAAGAGTTTTAATGCCCTCCACGTTGCCTTACGAGTTGCAATAATTTTGTGTGATACTCTCTGCATAATTAGAAAAAGTCACGCAAATAATCAAACATTGACATTGTAAACCATTAAGAGATATTGCCGCAATAAAAAACAATTTGTCTACTAATGTTTAAATAACATATTGGTGACCTGGATCGGCCACCCCAAAAACCAGTTCGCATCGGTGGATTAATATTCCAGATTGGAGAATACAGCTGGTTTTTACCCCCAAAAAAATTTAAAAAATCATTAAAATTTCTCTAAAATATAGTCTTTTAGTTTACTAAAAAAGTATTGCATTATGTATTTTCATTATTTTACCAAAAATATATAAATACGGAGAACCTCTTTCATTTTTGAATGTTTATCGATCATCAATTATAACTAGATGACTATTTCCAAAGAGAAAACATTGGATTTCGTTTAATGAATATCTAAATCACTCCCTCCAAAAATTGGATGGTTCAAGTGCAATCTTGGGATGCTATTTTTTAGGCATATAAAGAGTGAGAGTTAATTTCATTTCTTTTCTTTCCTTTGCAATTGTTTGCTGGGTTCTAAAGATAATATCCCCAAAATTTGGAATATAAAAGATATTCCTAGTTTTTCCCTAGCAAGTAAATGGGTAGTATATTCCCGCAGGTGTAGGAAATCTTTTGGTTTATTTTTTAATGAAATTTTGTAAACTGCAACAGGTTTGATCTTGCAGCATTGATGCCATGCTTGATGTGCGTTTAAGATAACCACGAGGCTGCAAAATATTAGAATCCCTCTCTCTCTCTCTCTAGGCCAATGCTTTAGTAAAAGAATTAGGTATGGAAAATAAAGAGAGAAAGTAAAACCGTGAGTGCAAATCATTTGGTTGCTTCATTTTTATTTCTATATCACAAGGGGAAAGCTTTATAGTTAAAGCACGAGGGAAACTTTGTTTTCATTTATCCACATCGGGGAATTTTGAAGAGTTACAAGGGGAACAAGCTTATAAAAGGAGGCGCGCTTAAAGAATGAGGCGAAAGGAGCCTTATGGCTGCGTAAAGAAGCGGTGTGGTTCACCAAGCCAACCCCCAAAGTAAAAAAAAAAATGTGAATGCAACGATCACAAAAATAAAAAAAATAAAAAATATAGGATCCGGTAGGTTCTCTAACAAAATTGATGGGAACCTGCCGGCTCATAAGGGGGAACCGGCCAGTTCTAGATATTTGATGGGATCCGGATCAACTGGATCCAATCCGCATCACCGATTTTTTAAACACTGATGTCTCATATACATTTTATTCTACTTAATCAATATCAAGCATGAATCAAGGAGACAGATGCAGGTGAAGACTGAGATTTGTATGATTTTTATAGAAGTCTTTACATGAATTATATTTACTAAAATATAAGAGAAAACTATATTCCTAGAAAATGAACTGTAAAAAAGTGACCAAATTTATTTATTGTTAATTATTCTGCTATATCTCTTCAATTCTACTCATCATCATTATTATCATTTTAGCCTTTTTCCAATTAATTGGGGTCGGCTACATGAATCATGGTTCTCCATTCTATTAAAGGTCATATCCTCAGTGAGGCAATAAGCCCCCATATCTTTTCAAACGACTTCCAACCACGTCTTTTTGGGTCAACCCCTTTCCCTCTTCATTACTTCCACTTGAACTAATTCGTTCCTCCTAACAAGTGATATACTTGGTCAGCACCACACATGGCCAGCCTACCTAAGTCTACTCTCTCTCATTTTATCGCCTATTGGTGCCACGTCTAAATTTTGTCGAATAGATTCATTGTGAATTCTATTCCTTATTGTCTTGCCACTCATCCATCACAACATCCTCATCTCCGCTACACTCATTTTATGGGTATATTGTTTTTTGTCCACCCAACATTCTGCCCTTTAGAGTAAAGCTGGTCTCACGGGTGTCCTATAGAACTTGCCCTTCAGCCTCATTGGTATGCAAAGATCACATAAAATTCCAGTTGCACCTCTCATCAATCAAAACTATGTCATCTGCGAATAATATGCACCATGGTACCTCATCCTATAGGTGCCTAGTTAAGTCGTCAATAACTAAGACAAAGAGGTATGGGCTCAATGCTAACCCTTGATGTAGACCTATTGTCACTGAAAACCCACTCGTCTCTCCACTAATTGTTTGTGCACTAGTAATCATTCCATCATATATATCTCTCACCCAGTCGATGTAGTGTTTAGAGAATGTCTTTCTTTTCCAACACCCACCAAATCAAATCTTCAGGTACTCTATCAAGCTTTTTCTAGATAAATAAAGACCATGTGGAAGTCCTTTCCCTTCTTCCTAAACTTCTCAATCAGTTGCCTAAGTACGAATATAGCCTCAGTTGTTAACCTTCCTAGCATAAAACCAAATTGGTTTTCAGATACACTCGTTTCATACCTTAGTCGTTGCTTAGTGACTCTTTCCCAGAGCTTCATAGTATGGTTCATAACCTTGATCCCTTGATAGTTTGCACAAGTTTGTATGTCCCTTTTGTTCTTGTAAATAGGTACCACAATATTTTTTCTCCAGTCGTCTAGCATTTTCATTGTTCTCAATACCTTGTTGAATAGCTTTGTCAGCAAGTTAATGCCAATTCCCCATGCACTTCCAAACCTCTATCGGGATGCCATCCGGTCCTAAATCCTTCATATCTTCATCCTTTTCAAAGCTTCTTTCACTTCCGATATCCTAATCCTACAAATGTATCTATGACCTCCACCATCACTTGTACCAACAGTCCTTTAAACCACTATGTTCCCATTGTATTTGTCATTTAATAACATTAGAAAATAGACTCTTCACCTTTCGTTGACCTCATCATCCTTTACCAAGACCCTTTGATCCTCACGCTTAATGCATTTAATATGGCTTAAGTCCCTACATTTTTTCTCTCTTATTTTTGCTAATTTGAAGATATATTTTTCACCTTCTCTTATTCCCAGTTTTTTGAATAGATTATCATATGCCTTAATTTTAGTTGTACTTATTATTTGTATAGCATTTTTCTTAGCATTTTTATGTTCTTCTAAGTTTTGATCGTCTCTATTACACTACCAAGTTTTATAACATAATCGTTTTTCGCTAGTGGCCTTCTGGACCTCATCATTCCACCACCAAGTTTCCTTATCGAAGTTTCTTTTCCCTCTAGATTCTCCTAAAACTTCTTTTGCCACTTTCTTGATCCATTCAGCTCTAATTCCATATTAAATTGGCATCATGTTCAAAGTTCAATTTTTCTTCTTCAACTAATTTATCCTTAATTAAGTCGATTTTCTCAGTTTTTAAATTCCACTACCTAGTTCTTGGACGCTCATTACTTTCAACCCTTCTCCTCCATGTCTTTATCCACTAACTCCATACTCTTACCTGTAAGCGTTCCTACGTTCCATGTGGCTAAACAAATCTTATTCTCTTGGACTAACTTCTTTACCCTCGTTTGCCCAGGGTGTCGTGGGGCCTATTTTTCACCGCAACCAGGCGCGTCGCTTCTGGGGAACGCCCTAGCTACCCCTTGATCATTTCTCACTATACCCAAGTTCCGGTACAGCGTGTCACTTCGGGAGAATGCTCTAGCATAAGCAAATACTATAAGTTTATCAGGATTCATTATGGTTTTGGCAAAATTTTACATTGGCTGCCTACCTAACACAACCATGCCCCTTTACCCGAGCATGGGATGGGTTAAGGCAAAGTTTAAGGTCATCACCCTTCTTAGACCTCTATTCAATTCTATTATTCTCTTGAATTTTCATGGATCAAAAAATACCTTTATAGTTGAGTAAATAAAGTTCAAGGTGTGATTCTTTTAACTTCTCACAAATACAATTCAATGTGTAATTCATGGTCCATGCAAAAACCAAAATATTTGAAAGTATACTAATTTATACATCCATTCGAGTCATCCATCAAAATAATAAAAAGATCCCATCCATCTAGAAGTAATAGTACATAAGACAACAACTCAAACAGAAAAGTGACAAATAGCATAAGCCCATAATGTAAGATCAAGTCTATATAGAAATATATGAAACAAGAAATAGAAAAACCTGAAGTAAATGTTAATGTCAAGCAGATCCATATTTGCGACCCCATTCAAAGAATTTCTACCCACTAATGTAAAACCCTACCTTATTGTTAGATGACACTTGCATCTGAATTAGGAAATAATTGTTTATAATTGAAATTTTTGTTATATAATTTACCCATTACCAAATCATCACAAGTTTACTAGAAACTCAAATCAACCTGACTAGATCACAATGCAAATGTGATCTCACTACAAGATTTGTGGTGATATCTCCACATGTTTCAATAAACATAGCATCTCCATGAGAATTGACAATATACAATTTATATTTCAATTTCAGATCATAAAAGTAACCACTCAAACCTACCCTATTAACGAAATAGTGTAGATAATGTTGTAAGAAATCTTTCTCAGTTCAAACAATCCACTGGCATTCTATTCCAGCCCTAGTCCTAAAATTTTCTAATAGTAAGTAGTCTGGTTGAGAGTGTACTGATAAGAAAGTTCCACCGAAGAAACCTAAACAAAAAATCAATCAAATATTCTATAAAATCACGTATTGAAAGTATTAATAAACATAATAAAATGGTTGACTGGTTATTTAAGGGATGAACACGCATCCATGTTATGATGAAATCATCAAACCCACCAGGATACAGTAATTTCCCGTATCTTCCAATACAACTCGTTTTCAGCTGGGATTTTCTTCACATTAAAGGATCATCAAGGTAACTCATGCAGGGTTCCCATTAAAGTTCACAAACGTCAAGACCACAACAAAGGGAGTCACAGCTCCTCATCACTTGCATCCCATTTAAAATGGGAACAATTCACTGTTCCAACAACCCACTCAAAGTTTCTTTCATTGAAGTAGTGAACATAATATCTGTATAATGAATCACATCCACTCCAAAACAGAAAGGAAAAGGGCATAAGTCACTTTATTTTTATTGGGATAAATTTCAAGGTTTGCAACTCTGACCCTCCC